AAGCCAATTGCCCCGAATTAGGGGCATACAAGGCCGCGAGGGTGACTTTTTTTTCGTTTAGTAATCCCTTTATAATTAGGTACCTGCCTTGTAGATCCTGTATTTTATCTGTAAGAACAAATTTGTTATGTTTTGAAATTAGAATTATAACCCCCCGCGCCTTTGAAGAGCCCGGCGCGTCAAACCCTTGCGGAAAGTATGAGGATTTAAAAAGAAGGTTTTTCTGATTCCTTAAATGGCTCTCCAATAGAAAGACTATGTCAGGTTTATGAGATTTCAAATAATTATGTATCCTTCTTGTCTTAATAACGTTGTTGAGCCCTCTGCAGTTTAGCGATACAACCATAAGATTTTTAGACATTATGGTACTTTAGGGTGTAGTTTCTGCAGAGGATCATGCATGAGAGCAATATGTTGAGTTGCCGCTTAGAAGCTGAGAAATCGAGCCAATAAACATGACCCAAAAAATTTTGCATGACCAAGAGCTGATCGGATAAAATCATAGACGATGGTCTTGTGAAAAAATTTAGGTAAAAAGACCCAAAAAATACCTTTTGTGTGTTTTTTAATTTCCTTCTGAAATCTAAATCAGAATTCCGAGAAAATCGAACCGTAAGAAACAATTTAGAAAACCCTGAGCAACATATAAACATCTTGAGTAATCTGTCACCTAAATGCTTCACCCTCCCCCTCCCTCTTTCCTGCCATTCATGACAATGTAAAATCACTAATAAACATGCAAGACTGCCCAAGGAAAAAACCAAGTACCCGCGTAAAGAACTTGTGCTCCGTGGGGTTCAGATGGTCAGGGACCTCCATGTTCCTTCCCACCCGAACGAATCCCAGAGGACTCCCCCCCGCGGAACAAAAAAACTCCCTCTCCCCTAGAGGCCCGGGACACAGCAGCCCCCAAACAGCCCAACTCCCCCAATCAAAAACTAAGAGTTTGATGACTAAGAGTCATAGTGTAAATAATCGAACAGCCCAACCGTGAACAGTAAAGAATGTGTAGACCAGGAGACCTTAGATGTTGCCGTGCGGATCGCGGACCGGGATCTTGCTTCCCTTAAGCGGAGAGGTAAGCTCCAGCCTCCGTTTGATTGCGGCCCTCTCGCATTCCATGGGGATTTGGATACGCATGGAATTTAATGCAGCAATTCCCTCTCCTAGGTCTTCGATAGTCCAAGTTTTATTTTGGTGTCGAATGTGCATCGCGCCGGAAGGCAGCCATTTATATCTAATTGCTGCCTCGTTGAGTCTAGTAACGATGGGCTTGAGTTTTCGTCTGAGCATTAAGGCTTCAGCAGAGATATCTGGAAAGACTTGGATCTCCTTGTCCTGGAAAGAGAGGCTTCCTTTGGAGCGGGCCAGGTCGAGAATTCTTTTTTTTGTGCGATTGTCCGCTAGCTCAATTACAATGTCCCAGGAGGCTCTGGAACGCTGAGAGTAGATGGAACCCAATCTGTACGCTTTTGTGATATATGGGGCTACTCCGTCCTCAAGTTGTAGAGCTGAGGAGAGCCAGTTGGCAATAAAGATAGACAGGTCTGTGTTCGCTTCCACTTTTTCTTCAAAGCCCCTAAGTTTAAGGTTCCGTTCTCGAATTCTGTTTTCGAGAGTTATGATTTTGTCTCTGGCCCATTTTTTGTGCATTTCCAAATTTCTGATGCCTTCCTGGTTAGCGAGGCCAGTTTCTAATGCCGTGTCGGCCGTAGTCGCAACTTCCTGGATTGTGAACTGTAGGGCCTGCAGTTGATCGGTAACCGGCTTCAGAAATTCATGAAAAGTTTGCAGAATGTCGGAGCAAAGAGATTTGAGGCTTGCACGGAACTCTGTCGTAGTTAGGAGCTCCGTTGTTTGCGAGTTCGATATAGGAGTTCCGGCCGCCATTTTGTCCTCTACGCGGTTGTCGCTGGGCTCGGAGTTCTTTTGAGAACCGCCTTTAAGAAAGTTTTGCAGAAGTTTGGATGAAGCGGTGGACTCTTTGAGTTGTAGGCCGTCTTTTTTGCCCATAATCCGGTCGTCTATTTGCAGGTTGGTGTTCGTTTATTAGAAGATTGGAGGAGTTGGCAGAGGAGCTCTATCCCGACACGTCCGTTCTCATTAGAACCGACGCCCCGCCCCCGAGTGGACTTTTGAATTTGCAATTTCCATTTGAATCCTTTGTTCTGCGATTCACGATCCTGCTCTTTCCCACTTGGATCTTCCCATATTTGCACAATTTATTTATATGAATTTCAAGATTTGTATTGAGATTGTTTCGTATGTCTGTTACTGCTGATTGTGTAAAAAATCTATAAGCCTTATATTTAGCGTCTCTGAGTATTTTTGGAGGTTTAATTATACAGTGGGTTTTTCATTATTATTCTTTTTTTGTATTCGCCACCTAGAGTGTGGCAGCCCTACTGCCGTGCCATCACTAGCAAAGTCAGAATAAATGACATTGATTTCTATAGCATGGGAAGGGAAGGCTTTCGTTTCCTGACGGTGGGCTTCACAGAGGCACCTAATCAGCCACGATGGGAAAGCAGGGCTCTTTTTGCAGCAGGAACTCCTTTGCATATTAGGCGACGCACCCCGAATGTAGCCAATCCTCCAGGAGCTTACAGAGCTCTTCTTACAGGGGCTAATGTAAGCTCTTGGGGGACTGGCTACATTAGGGGTGTGTCACCCAGGGCTTTTTTTGTAGAAAAAGCCCAGTAGGAACTCATTAGCATAATAGGCCACACCCAACAGCAGACACTCATTAGCATATTAGGCTACACCCTTGACAGCACAGCCCATTAGCATATTAGGCCGCACCCCCATGTTACCAGAAGTGTGGTCATCCAGCCACACCCACCTTTTGCTTCTTATTCTGTTTACCTTGTTTGTTGTCAAAACGCCAGAGCTTTTTTTGTAGCAGGAACTCCTTTGCATGTTAGGCCACACACCCCTAATGTAGCCAATTCTTCTGTACCTATTATTTTTTTTAAATTCACTTTTTATTGTTGAGTATATCCGTTTAACACAATCATAGTTCACTATTCATCTTATTGATATGCTCATTTTCCATTTTTAAACAATCTTGAACCAAACATACAAAGATACAAAAAAAAAAAATCATCTGAGGTTACTAATATAACAGCCAAATTTTTTTTTAATTTCTCTCTTTTATTCCCTCTTCTTTTCATATGCCCCTATCTTACCCGTTTGTGTATCCCGTCCAACTTCCCCATAACTTAATAGTCCTCATAATACCACACGAAAACTACAGTTTCTACTAACTCACATAATGCTAGATTCTTCTATCTATTTTCTTCTTCTGTACCTAATGTAGCCAATTCTAATGGGTTTGTGCTGTTGGGTGTGGCCTATTATGCTAATGAGTTCCTGCTGGGTGTGGCCAACTCAGAAGCCAGCCGGAACTCCGTTCCTGTGCGTTCCTGCCCAAAAATAGCCCTGGGTGTGTCACCTAATATGCAAAGGGGTTCCTGCTACAGCTGCCTCATACTGAATCAGACCCTGGGTCCATCGAGGTCAGTATTGTCTACTCAGACTGGCAGCAGCTTTCCAGGGTTCTCAGGTGGAGGTCTTTCACATCACAACACCTGGTCCTTTTTAACTGGAGATGCCGGGGATTGAACCTGGGACCTTCTGGATGTGAAACAGATGCACTGTCACTGACCCACAGGGCTGCTCCCTTTCTTCTTTTCACAGACTTATCTTCTTATCCAGCTGGGCTCTTCTTGCAGTACAGCAAGTATAGGGTGTGTTGGTTGGTTTTAATTGGCTGACATGTGTAAATGGATTTTGGCCTCAAAAAGAGCCTTATAACTAAGGTTTATATGCGTTCAAATGATGTATTCAATTTCCCTGATTTACTCAGAGTGCAAAAAAATTAAGACATCTGGAAGTCTGCCAAATTAAATTAGGCGTTTGGGTTCGGGAGGCAGAGGGATGCACGAGGCAGCGTACCGTTTCACGCTCTCGTCATCCTGACAGATTTTGAAAGCTCAGAGCAGGCTTCGAAGGGAGGGGAGACAACCCTGAAGACTTCTGGGGCTAATTTGTTCACAAGTGTTCAGGCTAAACAGGCGGCGGCTTCTCCCAGAAGCCTCTTGGCCACTCGTCCTTCGCAGAGGCTCCATCTAGGGATGTGCATCAGGATAAAAATTGGTATTTTTTAAAATCTGGATTTCAGGGAGGGCATAATTATTGGTATTCTGGAATATCTGGGTCTCTGACACCAGTTCAGTATTTGGATTTGGGCCCCCCCCCCCGCCCCGAATTCTGAAATTATTTGAGTCCATTATTCCCTCTGAGGAGCTGTGGTGGCTCAAGTGGTTAAGATGCTGAACTGCAGGCTGTGGAAGGTCGGTATTTCAGCAGTTTGAGACCCCGAGTGTGCCGCATGACGGAGTGAGCTCCCATCTCTAGTTCCAGCTCCTGCCAACCTAGCAGTTCAAAAGCAAGAAATTGCAAGTAGATAAATAGGTACCACTTTGGTGGGAAGGTAACAGCGTTCCGTGCGCCTTGGTGTTTAGTCATGCCGGCCACATGACCACGGAAACGTCTTCGGACAGCGCTGGCTCTTCGGCTTGGAAACGGAGATGAGCACCGCAACCCTAGAGTTGGATTCGACTGGCTTTCGAGCAAGGGAACCTTTACCTTATTCCCGCTGAGAAAACATTCCGGGGGGGGGGGATGAAGTGGCTGTTTTTCAAGCAAATGACACCAAAATTGCAGTGCGGCTGGTGCAGCCTGTACACTAAAGACCCCCCCCTCCCAGTTTCAAGTGAATTGGACCATGGGGGCCATCCCTCCTCGTCATGTATTTATTGGTGCTCAATAAACAGCAAATGGAAGGTAGCAAAATGGCAGCCATTTTGTACGGTTTACATTCTAGGATCATCTTTCTCTACTTCTCGTTGAGCCGAATCAACCGAGCCGTTCCTCCATTCCTTTCTCTCGCCACGAACCCTAACCTAATCACCAAGAAAGCACTGGGCGTCTCTTACGTATCTCGATCGGCACGATCTCGCTGGGGTAGACCTCTATCTCCACCCTCCCATCGGCTTCGTTCTTGTCGAGCCACCGGTTGCAAGGGAAGTTGTACTGCAGGCCGTGAACGGGAATGGTAACCTGAACGCTGCCAAGGTGCCAGCCGGCCTGGAGCCCGACATTGTCATGCCCGATGAGGAGCCGTTTGATCTTGAGAAACAAAAGGGCAAGAGAGTTTGAGGGTGATTTGTACCACTGACATTTATTTTAAATAGTAAGAACATAAGAGATGCCAATGTTGGATCAGGCCAAAGGCCCATCCAGTCCAACACTCTGTGTCACACAGTGGCCAAAAATACCAGGTGCCATCAGGAGGTCCACCAGTGGGGCCAGGAAACTAGAAGCTCTCCCACTGTTGCCCCCCCCCAGGCACCAAGAAGACAGAGCATCACTTGCCCCAGAGCCCCTATCTATACCTTGTGACTAATAGCCACTGATGGACCTCTGCTCCATATGCTTATCTAATTCCCTCTTGAAGCCGTCCATGCTTGTAGCCGCCACCACTTCCTGTGGCAGTGAATTCCATGCGTGAATCACTCTTTGGGTGAAGAAGGACTTCCTCTTATCCGTTCTAACCCGACCGCTCAGCAATTTCATGGAGTGCCCACGAGTTCTTGTATTGTGAGAAAGGGAGAAAAGTACCTCTTTCCCATGCATAATCTTATAAACCTCAATCATGTCTCCCCTCAGTTGTCGTTTCTCCAAGCTAAAGAGCCCTGAGCGCCTTAACCTTTCCTCATAGGAAAGTGCTGAACTAGGGGTGGAGGAACATCAGGCCTGGGGATTTTGATGGCAAGGAGTCATACAGGGATAAGTACTCCAGCTAAGCACTGAAAAGCACTGGGTAGCAGCGAAGATTGAAAGGCCAGCCCAATATCAACAGTTTTATATGTATTTATTTATTTATTTATTTATTAGATTTTTACCCCGCTCTCCCCAGCAGGGCAGGCTCAGGGCGGCTTACAAGAGAACCATAGACAAAGGTAAAGGTAAAGGTTTCCCTTGCTCGAAAGCCAGTCGAATCCGATTCTAGGGTTGCAGTGCTCATCTCTG